CCACACATCTTAAAGTTGCCAAGTCTGAAAAACACTGATGTAGGCTATGGTAACAGAATCTCAGAAGTCTGACTGAGTTTTCCCTTCCTTCCTTCTTATACCACAGGAGGTTAACAGTCTGAGTTTCTTCCTAATGTTTTCTTTGTTTCCTAGGCTTGAAACATGTTTCTGCATCCCTTGCTGCATAGTTTCTTGAAGGTCATCCATGCGGCTCTCTACACAGCAGGGGAGTGAAGCAGATGCACCAGGCTCGGGCTAAGTATTGGCAATGGGAACTCCACATTTTATGCTGACAGGCTTGCACTAACCCAAGGAGGGACGGAGAGCACTTTCGTGTGTGTGTCTGTGTGCCTTGGAGTTAGTGTTGACTTCTGGCAATTACCTGGACAAGTCCCTGCAGTTTTCTTGGTAAGGTTTTTGGAAGTGGTTTGGCATTGGCTGCTTCCTGCGGCTGAGAGAGAGGGAGTGGCTCAAGGTTACCCAGCTGGTTTTGTGTCTAAGGCAGGACTAGAGGCAACACTTTTACTCAGCAGTAGGGAAAGAACCAAGGAGTGTGATATGTGTGTGTGGGGGGGGGGGGGGGGGAATCATCCCTATCTTATCCTGCATTGATCTTCACCAGCTATTCTCCACCTGGAGCCTTCCGTATCTGTTAGACCAGTGTTTCTCAAACTTGGCAACTTGAAAATGTGTGGACTTCATCTCCGCTGGCACTGGGGAATTCTGGGAGTTGAAGTCCCTACATCTTCAAGTTGCCAAGTTTGAAAAACACTGTGTGAGACATACACTATCCATGTAGTCCAACTGTATGGCCAAATTGTCTCTTGTAATCATATCAGCTGTAGTCTACTTTTTCTGAAGGGTGTCCGAAGAAGGAAGACTACTCTTCAGTTTCCTACTTCTACAGTGCTTTGATAAAGAGGGACGTCACCGCTTCCCGACCCTTCCAACAGAATCGCTCTCTTCTACTGCCCGCCCCCTTCCCTCGCGCTTCCAATAGTGACTCTCCCCGGTGGCCCCGCCCTCTACCCTCGGGCCCGTGGATTCGGAGGGAGGCGATTGGACGAAGACAGCCGTCGTTTCTGCCTTCCTATTGGCTGGGCTAAGGGGCGTGGCGCTCGTCCTGGTGAAGGTGACGGCGGCGGTGCTCCCTCGTTCCAGTTGTTTGAGGCGGCTCGGGCGGTGTCAGGATGCTGTGCGGACGTCAGGTGGCGAAGACCCTTCGGGTGAGGAGCGGCCCGTGACGGAGCGGGGCAACGGCGGCGGCTCGGGGTCTTTTTCCCCAGAGAAGCATGCTTGATCGTGGCAGGCTTGGGGCGGCCCCTCCCTCGCCGTTGACCGCCACGCTGCCCTTCCTCCAAACCCTCGTCCGCTCTGAGGGAATGAAAGGTGGCCGGGGGAGGGGAGGTTGGAGTCAGGGAAAGGAGGGGGCGGGGGGGGGTCGTCACTGGACGTGCGAACGCCTCCCTGTGCGCGTGCGCTGGAAGGGGGTGCGCAACCTGTGGACCCGATCCTGTGCCGGAGGGCCCCTTGCATTTAAGGAACAGGGACTCTCTCCCTGGCGTGTCTTGCTTTGACAACGAAAATGAAATAAATTCCTTGAACAGGCGGTTGGCACGAGGTGCTTCTCCCAACTTGGCCACTCCTGCCTGAGTGCTGACCTGGTTGGTTGATTGATTATGTGCCATCATGTCGTTTTCCACTCCTGGTGACCACAAAGATAGATTTTTCTCCATGGCAATATATCCCTAACCTGTTCTTTCAGGTTTTCCAACAGTGCACTCATTGACACTGAGTCCATCCACCTTGCTGTTGGTCATCCTCTTCTTCTGCTTCCTTCCTCCTTTCCCAACATTAGAGCCTTCTCCAGAGAGCTGGGTCTTCACATAATGTGTCCGAAGTAGGATAATTTGAGCCTGGTTATTTGTACCTGGAGTGAGAACTCTGGGTTGATTTGTTTGATTATCCATCGGTTTGTTTTCTTGGCTGTCCACGGTATTCTCAGAAGTCTTCTCCAACAGCAAAGTTGAAAGGCCTCAGTACTCTTGTTGAAGTGATTTCTACAACCCAGGTTTCAGGAGAAAATGCCTTCCCACAAGCAGTTGCAAACCAGGACTAAAACCAAGACCCATTATTGGAAACATATAAATGTCCTACAGAGTGGCTGGTGGGAATAAGGAGGAAGGGTTCAAAGGGATCAAAAGGTCACTCTTTTTGCTTCCTCCACAGTCTGTCTGGATTAGCTGTGATGTTAGAGAGCAGAGTTTTGGCATACTTTAATTTTGTTTAATGCATTCTGGGAAATTGTGTAGGCTGTGTATAGTATTTCTCTGTGGTAGGAGAAGACTGAACTTGATTCTTAGCTACTGGTTCAGCTGTTTAAAGTGAAATAAGTATTTGAGGTACAGTACTTTGTTAAAATGGCAAGTCTGTAGTGCTCATTGCTCCCACCCTTTCTGGTAATGAAAAAGAGAGACGGTGATCTCCTAGGGTGGTCCCATGTGCAAGGCTAATGAGAACTTGTACTGAAGAACTTCATGCCTCTCCATTTGGTAAGATGGCTTCCCTATTTGCTGTCTTAGTAGTTCTCAAAATTGTTGCTTAGAATATGGTACTGTTGCTTCTACTTCTGGGATAATTTATAAATGGTACCCTTGTGTTTATCATTTGTATGCAAGCAGCTAAAAAGGAGAATTAATCAGTAAACTCTGGTGTGCTCAGATCTTTGCTATGGCAAAACAATCCAGATAGACTAAAAAAGAGAACAAGCCTGTGGTAGAGGTAATATTTGTTAATTTAAATAATAAAATAGACAATGCCAGTAGAATCAAAGGGCAAAATAAGCAGCATTGATATATATAAGCTGGAATCATTTTTGCCATTTTACAGCAATAGTTGCTTAACTGATACAAATCTAACAGTTAAAATATTTGTATTTATGTGGTCATACTGCCCCGAACTACAGGGAGTTGTTTAGTATGTGGATAGAAAAAAAGGATGGAAACTTTTGGAATGTCTGTCGCAAGGTTGGGAAAGCCACAGAAGTGCACACAAAAAATACATTAAATAACAAGGTTTGATCAATGGACAAGTACAAAATAAATACTAAGTCCAGACAAAGGGTATCAGTCAAGCTGGAAGAAATGGTTGAAATGTCAACAAGAAAACATAGTGTATCAGGATATTGTAAGGAAAATAATGAAAACAACATTCTTCCAATAAGGTTAAGTTAAGAAATCAAGATGCTGTGCAAGGTCTACTAAAACAAACACCAATGTCCTGGCAGTCAGCTGATTACCTCACAGGCAGGCAAAAAAAACCCCAATCAGAAGTAAGAGGGCCTGCATGGACTTAGTATGACATACCTAGAATTAGATACAACCCTAGGAGGTGGCAAGGCAGAGGCCTATAAAAGCTCTAGCCTTACAGAGGGTGATGGAGGGAAAACTCAGCATCAGTAGCTGTGGGACATCTCTTGCCTTATACGCACTTTCAGCTATTTACCCAAGTGTGGGAATTTGAATGAATGAATAACTTTCATTCTAACAAACTTTGTTCATATTTCCTACTGTATATCATCTGCCTCTCTGATGCCTACTTATGGTTCTCTATACAGTTTGTAATATAAGCATAATACATCTTTAACAAAAATACTTAAAAGGTTAGCAGTCATATATCACTGGTTCACACTGAGATGTTTCAGTAGCCCAGTACCCTCTTTGATGATCTGTAGTCCAAAAAGGTAGACAGTAGTGTAGACTTGATCATTCTATCTTGCAAGTTAAAAGAACATGCTGTATTACAATAAATGTAATGTCTTTTGCAGGCATTAAGAGTTTCAAGCCGAAGCTACTCATCACAACGTGGTTTAAATGTGAGTATTGCTAAGATAATATCATAGAACAGTGGCCCCAAACTGTACTTACTTTATAAAGCCATATTCAGTGTGGATTCATTATAGTGTTCAATAAAAAACAGCCCTCAAGCATTTTTCTGGTTTTTATAGCACTTGAGTGAATCCTTTTATTATATGAGATAGACTGAGAACCTAATAACAATTGATAGTTGACATACCAAGGATTTGTTCAGGACCATAATAAAGTTTTTAAAAAATCCTGTTCAGTGTTGAGAAGTCTGACAAGTCACCATCTCCCTGCAATTTTGAGAGAAGTTGATTTTTTTCATTCATAAAATAATACACAGAAATGGGTTCCTTTCTAGGGAGTATAATTCATGAAAATTTCCTTTCTGTATTTACTAGAAGCAATTAGAAAAGAAGTTGCAAGAACAGTATATTTATTGGTGGGTTTAGTTTTCTCTGAGCGCACTACATGCATTTGTTTTCTATGTACAAATATAGTAAGCAACACTAAATTGTTTGTGCATTTGTAAAACTATGTTGCTTTCTTGAAACTTTGATGCCAAAATAAGCCAAATGGTGTCCAGAATGCCACAGATGGTTTTGCTACTGCAGGGAATCTTTTTGACGTTCTTTAAGTTGAATACTTATAATTTGACCCACATAATTTGTCATAAAACCTTAATTTTTTTCTTTCAAGCTGTTAATACATTTAAATTACCATGCTTTTTGACCCCCTTCCAAAAGACCAAAAGGAAAGCTTTCCATTGTATGGTGTATTTTGTTTAATTAATAACTGTAATTTTGCTGAGATGTTAGTATATTGCATTTGAACAAAGAGACTTGTATTGCTTCTATAATCATCATTATGCATTGAATATTCTTAGAATTTAAAGCACAATTCTGAAAACTCTCAGGTTTTAGTTAAATTGATGTATTGTTTTTGTTTGTTAGGATGTAGTCATTGTAAGTGCTGTCCGGACACCTATTGGGTCTTTCCAAAGTTCCCTTTTCCCACTGCCAGCCACTGCACTTGGCTCCATTGCAATTAAAGGTGCAATAGAAAAAGCAGGTACGTGAAGTAGTTCTAGTCTTAATATGCTTCATTAGTCCCACTGCTTAATCTTACAGATTTTACTGATAGCAATAACAAAGGTACCAATTACAATCCCATACTTTAGTCTGTACTCCCAGATTTCTTTCTTTCTGCCTCTTTCTTTTTTTCTGGATTATATAAAGAAGTTAGGTTTACTTGAAAGGGGACAATCTGTCTTGACCTTCTTGTGTTTAACTGAAGGATCTTAAGGATGGATGTCACTGGAAGACACTGAATTTTACACTTTTGAACCATGCTTTCTTAACAGACTTTTGGGTAGCCCAGAGTTCTCTAGCTGCATTCATCTGAATGCAGTTGCATACATGATTAAGATCTTTAGGAGGGAGGTCTCTGGAACACTCCATCCCTGAATTGCTGAATTTTGCACGCCCTATTTTCTGAGGAAACACAGATTACAGGCATAGAGGATTAATTTTGAATCTTTATGGGATTCATGTTATGAGGCTATCTCTTGCATAATTATCATACATATTTCTCTGATTGCTATTAGGTATCCCTTCACAAGAAGTGAAAGAAGTATACATGGGGAATGTTATTCAAGCTGGTCAAGGACAAGCTCCTGCAAGACAAGCGACCCTTGGTGCCGGTACCCAAACTCTTTTTATTATTTGATATATATCATATTTATTTCAGTAAACAAACACAATATTTTTTGGATGCAGATAGGTGGTCTCTTAACGTTCATTTGTATATGCTAAAAAAGGAAATACAGTGGTACCTTGGGTTACGAACTTAATCCGTTCCGTGACTCTGGTCGCAACCTGAGTTGGTCGCAACCCGAGGCAAATTTCCCCATAAGGTTCAATGTAAATACGGTTAATCCG